GTGTGCAGGCCAGTGAGGTGGTTCAGTGGGTGAAGGCTTTGGCTGCCAAACCTGACATCCTGAGTTCGGTCCCTGTACGTTGTTCTCTGACCGCTGCAGCATACTGTGGAGTGTGCATGCATCGACACACACACACACACACACACACACACACACACACACACACACACACTTACATGAGTAGATTTTTATTTTTAAGTTCACAAAGGCGTTGTATATTTCTGAGAGGTGATAGTTGGATCTTAAACGTAAATGCTAAGCAAATGACCAAGACTCAAGACTTCATTAATGGACACAAGATGATCTGCTCTAACAGGACTGCTTGGCTTTCGCTCCATTGGCCTTTTCATTGAATAATGTGACATAGAGTGTGTGTGTGTGTGTGTGTGTGTGTGTGTGTGTGTGTTGGGGGTGGGTTGTGATTGTACTGAGCTCAGCAGCAGCTCTGGCCTCTGTCCACTAGATGTCAGTAGCACCCCCACTTGAGGATTCCACAAGGTTTCTCAAGGGGTCACCCTCTGGAAAGAAGTTTCAGAGTTAGAACAGAGTAGCCCAGGGTTGCAGATTGGCCCCTGGTTGAAAACCACCGTTGTTGCTGGATAGCAGCAGTTGACACTATATAGCTGAAGTGGACTGTGTAGATGTGGACTTAATTATAGTTATTACAGTGGACTGTCGGTAGGGAATAAGAGTGTAGTCAAACATCTTTTAAAAAGATGTTTATTATGTGTGTCTCTGCATGTGAGTTCAGCTTGGAGTGGGGCACAGAACTCAGGTCCTCTGTTAGAACAGCGAACACTCTGACCCACGGAGCCACTCCCAGGGCCCCCACATTTGAGTCAGGGTCTTATGTAGTGCAGGCTTGCCTCAGACTTGCAATGTATCTCAGGATGACCTTGAACTCCTCGCTCTCCTGCCTCCATCTCCCAGCGCTGGGATGGCGGGCACTTGCCACCATGCCTGCTTTGTGTGGTGCTGGGGACAGACAGTGGGCCCCACCGTAGGAAGGGCAAGCACTCTAGCCACGGAGTCACATCCTCAGTCATACTTCATTGTGTATTTTGTCTCCGTTTTACAAGGTTTAGCACGTAGAGACAGAGACAGACAGGTACGGGCAGACAGGCATGGAGACAGCAAGTGAGCATGCGAGCCCAGTTGCTAGGGTTCCTGTTGCCAGGTCACAGGGTGGATTGATCGCCTCCTTGCTGCTTTGTGGCTTTGGCAGTTTCCCCACCCACCCTGGGCCTGGGTGTCATGTTTGTCAAGGGAAGACAGTAGTCACAGGGATCTGGTAAGATCCCTTCTGAAGTTCAGACAGATACTAGAATCTTGGAAAGACACAAAACACTTGTAACAGCATCTGGCGCACAGCCAGCGCCTACGAATGTTGCTCTCCTCTCTCTCATTCACGGCGTCTCCCGCCGTCTCTGGTTACTTGTTCAAAGGACTTGTTCGCCCCTCCGGAAGTTAATCTCAGTTTATAAATCTATCCTGCCTTCCGTGGAGGCAGCATTTTGTTTAGGTCTCTCAAAAAATTGTTGTTTTTCAAGAAATTTATTCTCTTGCATGTAATTTCGTAAATGAACCATTGTTTTTAATGGAGATGTTTAAATGGAATATCCTCTTCTTTTCTGAAAATGGTCTCTGCTGGCATGGAACCAGTCCTCCGTCAGGGATGACTTGATTTAATTTTGGTGTGTAAGTGTATGATGTATGTATGCGTGCGTGGTGTGTTTTTGTGAGTGTGTGGGGATGGGTGCAGTGTGGAGGCTGGGGGGGAGGGGAGGGACATCAGGTGTCCTGCTGTGCCATTCTCCACCTTGCTGCCTTGTGACAGGTTCTCACACTGATCTGGAGTGAGGCCGGCAGCTAGCGACCCAGCGACCCTCCCATCTCTGCTCACCCCACAAGCCCTCAGCGCCAGGGCACAGGCATGTGTAGCCATGCCTGGCTTTTGATTTGAGTTCTAGGGATCTGAACTTACGTTCTCGTGCTTGTACCCCACGCACCGCCACACACCGAGCCACCACAGCCCTGTCATTAGTGTTTTAATAGAAGTGTCTAGACAGAGCCCTGGTGCTTGGCAGGGTTTATTTCTGGCAGGCTTAGTTCTGAGCGCTATGGGATTAAGTGCTCAGTGCTAAAACAAACAAACAAACACAAACAACCAAGTAACCAAATAAAAGCTACTTTTTTGTTTGTTTGGAAACAGGGTTGCACTGTGTAGCCCAGCTAGCCCAGCACTCATTGTATAGCCCAGGCTGGCCTGATATTTGCTGTGTAGCCCAGGCTTTAACTTGCTGCATTCCTGTGACGGCCCCTCTAAGCTCTGGGCTTACTGGGTTAATACTGCTAAGCCTGCTCAGGTCCCTTATTTCACAAAGATAGAAATTGAACATACGAAGGAAGCATGGGCATTATGGAGTTTATTTTAACCCGCTGCACTGCTAGGCTGGGAAAGCTGCTGAGTTTTGTTTGGTAATTGGCCACTTTCGTTGCATCTGATTTTTTTTTTTTTTTAAGTTGGTAGCTTTCCAAGAATCCAATTATATTACTTACAGTTTACTGCTTTTGGGTGCACTTCAGTCATTTTTATCCTGGCTTCCTCGATTTGATCATAGCTTTCAGGAAAACTTTTAAAACAACAGGATATACATCCTTCTGTGAGTCTAACTGAGAATATCCCTTTCATTTTTAAAATGTTTGTGAGAGTGCAGGTACCCATGGAGGCCAGATGAGGGCATCAGATTCCTGGGGACTGGGATTTCTGGTGATTCTGAGCTGTTGAGCACCCATGGAGGCCAGATGAGGGCATCATTTCCTGGGGACTGGGGTTTCTGGTGATTCTGAGCTGTTGAGCACAGGTGCTGGGAACTGAACTCGGGTCTCTGCAAGAGCAGAATGTGCCCCTAACTGCCAAGCATCTCTACAATTTGGTGTTGGAAGCCTGATAACTATTTAAATGGAAGTTAGAAATTTCCTGTCTCTTCTTGCCTGGTAAAATACCTTTCTAAAGAACTAGGTAGATAGGAATGAAATGCTTTTGATGTGCCTGACAAATGATGTTTACTGTACATCTCTGAGCTTGCTCCCTGAGAGATCTCAAGTGTGCAGGGTGCTGTGGCACGTGCGTGGCCTTTCATCCCAGCACCCAGGAAACAGGCAGAAGTTCAAGGTCATGCTTGTCCGAGCCTAGGCTACAGGAGACTTGCCTTAAAACACAAACAAACAAAAACCTCTTTAGTGTGTTTTTCTTTTTATGAATTATGCCTTTCCTTTTTCCCCAAACATAAAAGTAGGGAGCTTGGGGTTCTTTCTTTTCTCTTGATTATTTTGAGTCCTGCTCACTAGGGCTCCTGGGAACTTGCTGCACATGTCTCCTGTGCTTCCCAAGTCTGGCCTCCCTCAAGGGCAAAGTCTCAGCCTTTGATTTTGATTTTAAGCTGTCAGTAATGGTGTTCTGAGGGTCTCCAGGATATTGTTGAATTTTACTCGTGTGGAGTGGAGTCTCGGGTTGTCTGTCTTTCACAGTCTTTATAAACTTAATGCTTTTTGAGAAAACCTGCACCAGTTAGGGTTTTGTGGTAGATGTTGGTGATTACCCACGAGCATGACTTTCCTGGCAACAAGAAATGCCAAAGATTATAAATGACAAGAAAGCTGGAAAGAAAAGAATGATAATTCATGCTATTCATAGTCTGCATGGTTGTTGTCTGGGCTCAAAAAGGTTATTTGAGTTAATTTTCCATCACCTAATATGATTTAATCAGCTTATTGTTTACTTTTTAAGTTTTTATTAGTATGTGCCAATTTACTTAATACTAAGTTATTTTGAAAGTTTTGTACATGTATATAATGCCTCCATCACCATCTTCCATCCTCCTCTCCCATAATCTTCCTTTTCCTAATGAGTCTTCCTTTTATTTTAATGTTTTTTTTTTTTTTTTTTTTTTTTTTTTTTTTTTTTTTTTTTTTTTTGTGACCCAGAAAGCTTTTTTTTTTTTTTTTTAAGCGTGTGCACACACTTCTATGCAGGTGACTATGGAGATCAGGAGACCATTTCAGATGCCCTGGAGTCACAGGTGGTTGTGAGCTGCCTGATACAGGTGCTGGGAACTAAGCCCGGGTCCTCCGGAAGAGCAGCTCCTAACTACTGAGCCAGCTTTCCGGCCCACAGTGGCTTTAGTTACGGTTTCTTATGTCAGCCTGGGAGAGGGGTTCTGTAAAGGAGCAGTGTGACCAGTGGCAGCACCGCTGGGAACTTATTTTACTTAGTAATCATTTTACTTCTTTATTTGTTTCTTTAGTGTGTGTGTGTGGCAGGGGGTAAGGAGACAACTTGCAGGAACTGGTTCTCACCCTGCACCATGTGGGGCCCAGAGACGGAACTCAGGTAGTGAGGGTTGGTGGCAAGCGCCTTCACTCAGTGTGCCATCTCGCTAGCCCCTGTGCGCGTAGTAATGCCAGTTCAGTTTGTGCGTGTTAGGCAGGTGTTTGCTGACTAACCCGGCCCTAGATGCTGGCGGTTGGGTGAGGGTGTTGGGGAAGGCGTGTGCTGTCTGTAAGGGGTATGAGAGTCTTTTCATCACCGGTATCTTCCACTGTCTGCAAACTGTAACTTCAGGGGCTGGAGAGAGAGATAGACTGCTCGGTGGGTGAGAGTGCTTGCTGCTCTTCAGAGGCCCCGGGTTCCATTCTCAGCACCCAGGCTGCAGGCCGGGGGTCAAGACCCTCTTCTGGCCTCAGAAGGCAGTGAGTGCATCTACACAGACCCACACACAGACACAGCCATATACACATCACTGCTCATGCACACAGACACACCCGTATATACTTGGGCTCTACCAGCCGAGCTGGCTGAGCAGTTCGTGACCTTGTAGACATCCATGGGGCTTCCGCTGACCTGGGGTCTCTGTGACTCAAGGGTGTTGGCCGGTGCTCTCAGGTGAGTCTGCAACTTCTGCTCAGGTCAAAGCCAAGCTGTTTTCCGTCTGTTTCAGCAACAGCGCACAGTCTACAGGCTGACCCTGGTGAAGTGCTGGAACGTGGATGAGCTCCAGGCCTACGCTAAGCTGGTGTCCTTGGGGAGCCCCGACTTCATCGAGGTCAAGGTGAGTTCTGCTGCCTGGTGGTGGGCACGCTGCAGCCGAGGGCTGGCTGGCTGAGGGCTGGGGAGGCTTCCAGAATGCCTGGGTATTTAGTTCACAGATTCATCGAGAAGCTGGCCGTGTCCTGGGCGCAGTGACAGCAGCAGCAAAGATGAGCTGTGGTCTTCAAAAGCTTCTGCTCTGGGTCTGGAGAGATGGCTCAGTGTTGAAGGGCACTGGCTGCTCTCCCAGAGGACCAGAGCCAGCTCCCAGTTATTGGACATCTTACAACCATCTGCTATTCCAGCTCAGGGGGTCCAGTGCCCCCTTTTGACTTTTGAGGACACTGCACACACATACACAATTTTTAAATCTTTTTTTTTGAGATTAGGAAGTAAGTTTAATCATGGAACTGGTCAGTTTATAAAAACTGACTATTTCATTGATTTATTTTTACAGTATGTCACTGCCACATACAACATTTTCGTTTTACACTGACATTTCAGATAAAGTAGGAGGCAGACAACACAGGATGAACTGTTCTGTGTAGCCACACTTTCAGCTGGGAGGGTAGCGCTGGAGTGAGTAGACTCTTGCTATGAGATCTTTCAAGGCTTTTTCGGGCTAGCCTGGAACTGTGTAGCGCAGACTTGTGAGCCTGCTAGCCTGGTATACACACAGAAGAACAATGAGACCCTTTTCTTAAGCGGTGGAAAGCAGGGACTGACCACCCCTCCAATAAACAGAAATGAAAAAAAAAAAAAAAGTACCAGTGGCTATGCATGGTGTCGTAGGCATGTAATCCCAGGATCACAAGTTCAAACTCATCCTTGAATATAAAATGAGTTTGAGGTAAGCCTGGGCTACTGAAGACATTGTCTCAGAAAGAAAGAAAAAGAAAAGGGAAACAAGCACACACACACATACACACAGAGACACACACTTACACACACTCAGACACACGCACGCACACACACTTTGCACCAAAGTCTGTGGTTAACTGATGACCGATGTGAAAGGTCAGAATGGTCCACTGAAGTGAGAAAACCAAGGGCAGATTGGGAGAGCCATTTTCTGAGTTCTTTGTCGCAGTGCTAAATGCAGGCTACTTTTTAAGGATTCATGGAGGCCTCAGTGTGGGGGTTAGGGCAGGGCTGGAAGTGACCGTTTGGAACCCTCCCTGTGCGGTGGAACATGGAGAAGCTTTCCGGGGCCCAAAGAGCCCCCACAAGATGACTGAATGGTAGGAGAAAATCCCCAGCTTTGAAAGCCAGCTCTTGGCTCTTTGGTGTGGAGTTTTGAAACTGAATATTCCCTGAGTCTCCAGAGGGGAAGTGGCAGCATATCACTGCCTTAGAGCTAGGTGCTCCGGAGGAGGGCAGGAGGTGAACAGCCCGGGCTCCTGCTCTCTGAGCCATTATCATTTTCTCTCTGGTCAGGCCAGAGACACTCTGATTTTGAAATTGCTCTTAAATTCAAAAGGTTTCTCTTGGCAGAAGTTTTAATGACGCACAAATACAAACTGTCTGGAAATATATATCCCAGTTTGGGGAGAGCGCGCCAACAGCAGAGATTAGTGGCATTTTAATTTATGGTTTAGCTATTAAAAATGTTGCCACAAATTATATGGCAGTAAAATCTGTTTTTATTGTGCTTGGCCGGATCATGGCCACCTCTTCTCCCCCTTTCTTTTTTTCCTTTCCCTTTCCTTCTCCTCTTTTTCCTTTCACCTTTTCTTTTGAAGTCATGTTTTCTATAGTGAACATTTTACAGTTTGGAAAAAGAAGGCAAATATTATTAAAAATGTCTTTTAAACAGGGTCTTCTGTAGGCATTAATCTGTGCAGCAGAGATGAACTTGAACCCTTGGTCCTTTTGCTTCCACTGCCCAAGTACTGGGGATGCAGCCATGTGCCACTGGAGTACTAGTGGTAGCAATTTACTGGTGGTAGTAATTGCTGTTTTTTGAAAAAAGATGGGGACTTGTTAGACAGAGAATTTCCCTGCCGGGTTTTTTTTGTGTGTGTTTGGCGCCTGTTCATGTGACTTGGAAATGGAGAAAGCTGTGTCACAAGCTCATGGTTTCTTTCACACCACTTCCCGCTTTGCTCTTTTATCCCCACACTAACAGTTTTGCCGGCACGACTTGTACCAGCCCTCACTAAAGCACTCAAGGGGAAAACTGCTGGAGAGGACTGGACGAGTGGATATGGTATTGAAGTCCATAAAAGTAAAATGAGCTGCCTTGAGAGATTTGATCATTTGAAAATCTTAGAGAAATGTATGGCCTAGCAAGAGTGGAGATCTGCCCACCCAGAGGGCAGAGGGCAAGTCAGTTCTCTCCTTCCACTGTACAGACTCTAGGATCAAATTCAGGTAGTCCGACTTGGTGGCAATTGCCTTTACCCTCTGAGCCACCAGCCTCTTGTACCACATTTTCCTTACCTGTTCATCTGATAACAGATACCAGCTGATTCCACATGCTGGCTCTTTCGAATGGGGTGGCAGTAGGTGTGATCCCTCGGCTGTCTCTGTGGGGAACCTGGGTTCTCCCTGGGATTCTGCAAGGGACAGGCTGCCCATGGTGCGCATGGCCTCCCCAAAGACAAACAGGTCAGTTAGAGCGTCACACCCCTGAGCTGTCTCCCAGCTCTTCTCTCACTTCTCATTTTGAAGCAAGGTTTTACTAATTTGTCCAGACTGGCTTTGAACTCATTCTGTAGCCCAGGTTTACTTGGTTTACTAGGCCCTACCTCAGCTGCCCCTGCGATGGGTTACAGGTGTGCACCATCACATCCTGTCTCTTGAAACTCGGAAACTGAAACAGGACTGGAGGCAGGGCTTAGTGGCAGAGTGCTTGCCTGAGGTCGCCGAGCCCTGGGTTCTGTGCCCAGCATTTTAAGGGAGCAACAGCAACTAACTAAAAATAAGTCAGCAAATGAGACGGTAAGCTTTCCTGTTCTATAGGATTCAAAGAATTAATGTCTGAAAGGCCATATCTTTGCTGTGGTGGTGGCTTCATGCCTGTAATGCTAAGCGCCTGGGAGGCTAAGGCAGAGTTTGAGGCCAGCCTGGGCTACAGGGTGATACTCAGTGTAACAAAACCAAAATGAAAACCGAAACAGCGGAAGAGGCTGGAGAGACGGCTCAGTGGTTAAGAGTGTACACTGTTCTTGTGGAGGACCTGGAGCCAGTTCCCAGCACACATCTGGCGGCTCACTTATTTTCCTTCTTCCTTCTTTCTCTCTTTCTTTCTTTCTTTCTTTCTTTCTTTCTTTCTTTCTTTCTTTCTTTCTTTCTTTCTTTCTTTCTTTCTTTCTTTCTCTTTTTCTCTTTCTTTCCCTCCCTCCCTCCCTCCCTCTTTCCCTCCCTCCTTCCTTCCTTTTTTCGAAGACATGGTTTCTCTGTGTAGCCTTGGCTGTCCTGAACTGTCTTCGTAGACCAGGCTGGCCTCAAACTCACAGAGATCCTCCTGTCTCTGCCTCCCTGAGTGCTGGGACCACAGGCGTGTGCCACCACAGCCCGCTGGCAGCTTACTTTTAGTTCCAGCTCCAGGGGACCCAACACCCTCTTTTGGTGTCTGTAGGCATTACACTCGGGTATACATGGCCACACATCTATATAATTAAAAATAAAATCTTGGGAAGAAAACCAGTGGAGCCTAAGGAGACATTAAGAAGGGGAAAGGGAGAAGGAGGGTCTCTGAAACTTGTTGAAAACTAGTGTGATAGGCTAAGATACCATTCCTTCCCAGGAGTGAAGTGTGTTTAATCTACTAGATGAAACACTTCAGTGAGCATAACTGATACACCAGGTCTGTGAGTGGAGCCCTCAGGGTCTGAGGATAAGAGGTTGTGTGTATCATATGTTATCTTTTAGAACCGTTGGTTCATGAGGGACCCCAGCCTAAAGGGTAGAACCCAGAGCTTTTCATTGCAGGGCTTTGTTTTGTATCAAAGGAATGCTTATCTGTGGGCTGAGATGAGCACGGAGAAGCCTTGCGTCATGACTAAAAGAAGTCTTCCTTTGAGCCTTGTGTGTGTTTGGGGGGTACAAACTTAGTAGTACATGAGGCTCATGTACATGCCCCCAAATTGGGCCCCAGAGTACGTGCCCTGCACACCCAGTGCTGTCCCTGCCTGTCACCTGAGTTTCAGCTAAGCTGAATCATTTCTAGGATTCTAAGGAAGACGCAAGCTGGGTGTGATAGTGCACACTGAATCCCAGCACCTGGAGGATCTGCAGTTCAAGGTCATCCTCAGCTACTGTGACTGTAGGGAAGCCTAGACCACGGCTCAAAAAAAAAGCAAAAACAAAAATAAGGGTCAGGGGCAACAGCCAGCCACCAAGCCTGAGGACTTGAGCCTAAACCCTGTGTAGATGGAGAGAGCCCCTCCAGCAAGCTGTCCTCTGACTTCCACCTGTGCACACACAGTGAACGCATACATACGTGCATACATGCATCTATACATACATACCAAAGATAGTAGAAACATATATGTTTTTTGGATGGGTTTCAAACGTGGTCCCTATTCGGATACTTTTAGTATTTTATCTTGTTTCATTGACTGAACCAGATTAAGAAGGTTTGTCTTGCTTTTCCTACCTTCTTTGTGTTTTTTTTTTTTTTTTTTTTTTTTTTTTGCTTATGAGGCTGATCAGGGCATGAATCACAGGTTTGGTTTTCAAAATTTTAAACTTTCATTCATTTAAAAAAGACGCACATATGTACATTTGTGATCATCTCCATCCTAACCATGGGTGCTTGCAGAGGTCAGTCAATGACTTGTAGGAGTCAGCTTTCACCTTCCACCTGTGAGTTCCAGGGACCCAGCTCAGCTGGTCAGGCTTGGCGGGAAGTGCCCTTACCTGCGGAGCCCATCTTGCTCATGTTTTGAAACACATATCGACGCACACTTGACATGAATCAGTGCAGCCTTTCAAATGGAATTATCTGTCCCACAGTTAGAACGACAGGAGCTTTTATAGACAGAGGCAGGTCTGGCCCTGTAGTCCAGGCTGGTCTGGAGTCTCCGTCTCCTGCTTCCGCCTGCCAAGTGCTGGGATTTAGGCATCCACTGCCCCACCTGCCTTAAATTAATAATCATTCACGAGGTTTGTTTGAGAATTCAATGGGCTAATCTGTGCCTGGATCGGGTAAATGTTTAGACTGCTTTCCATTAGGCCACTCATAGAAATTTAGTCAGTAGATGCTATCTCTTCGTTACATCGATTTCCTCTTTTCTTTCATTGCTAGTCTGGCAAAATATTTTTTTCTTTTATATTCCTTGTAAATTAGCATGCATTTTAGCCTCATTAGGCTTGAATGGGGCCTTCATTTGTGAGCTAAGAGACTCCCACCCTCATTATCTGCCTGCTCGTTATTAGAAATGTGCTTCGAGTTACAAACACGGGCTGCACTGGAAACTTGAATCGGGGAGCAGGTTTGTAAGGAGGTCTGTGTTGTCGTTCTCTGCTGAGCCCAGGAAGTGGCTGGTAATCACTTGTTGTCAAGTGGAAAAAAAAAAAAAAAACTTTAAAAAAGTCAACCCCTGTGAGCACTAAAACTGTTCACAGGGCTCAAACTGACCACACCCAGAGTCTTCCCCTCACTGCCCCCACACAGGGTAAGGGTCAGGGTCAGGGGACTGCCAGTTACTCGGGCCTGTGGTGTTGCTGTATCAGTTGTTTTTCTTAGGGGCCACTTACAGGAAGGCAGGAATTTTTTTTGGGGGGGGGAGTGCTTATGGTCTTTGGAGATAACCTGTAGTCTGGCTTCATGGGGAAAACATGGTAGTGGGAGGGCAGGGCTGCCCATTCACACCTGGCTGGACCTTTGCTCTGTAGCCCTGGCTGGCCTGGAACGCACTGTGTAGACTAGGCTAGCTCTAAACTCATAGAGCTGTCTCTGTCTTTGGAGTACTGGAATTAAAGATGCATGTCACCATATGCAACCTTTTTTAAAAAATTAAAAATTACATAGTGTGTATATGCATATATGTGATAGCGAGTGTGGAACTCATCTGGAAGTGTGTTTCCTGTGGGAAAAGGGAGCCCCCAAATGAGTTTGATTAAAGTTGCATGCAGGGCCAGGCATGGTGGCACAACGCCTTTAATCCCAGCAGGCTGTCGAGTCTCTGGATCTCTGTGAGCTCAAGGCCAGCCTGGTCTACAAATTGAGTCCAGGACAGCCAAGGCTACACAGAAAAACCCTGTCTCGAAAAAACAAACAAATGAAAAACAAGCTGCATGCAATAGCCAGCTTTGTTGAGAGCATCAGTTTATACTGAAGGTTAAGAAAGGTCACCTGAATAAAGTTCTCACGAGTTCTAGCCACTCGTGGCAGAAACATGTTTTTACAAAGATGCATATAAACAGATATCACCAGCCAGTTGTAATGAATCATCTGAAGTAAACGCACTCCGATCTGCTACACCTGGGAGGGGCACAGTACAAGAACAGTTCTGTGTTTTAGAAGAAACTAAGGTCACAAGACTCTTGCTTTCTTGGCGTTTTTCAAATGAGCACTCAGAATTCCCCTCACATGACTCCATTCTTGGACCCTGTTCCGACAGTAAGGACAAGTTTTGGGAATCAGTTTTCTCCCACCACCTTTGACTTAGGGACAAAACTTGGGTCATCAGGCATGATGACAAAGCACTTTCACCTTCTGCGCCATCTTGGTGGCCTTCCTTTTTCCTTTGTATTTAGTTTGGGCCCTCAGCCCATGGCATGGTAAACCTTTCCAGTAAGGCCTTCACAGGCACACCTCAGGGTCTGTCTTGGAGGCGGTCATAAATCAGGTAGGCTGAAATGAATGCTTGACCCTGTTTAACAGTTGGGTCGTGGTCGCCTGAGGGTAGCCAGCTAGTGCTCCACTGGGGTGCTGCTTTCCCAGCACACAGGAAGCTCTGGCCTTCCCCAGGACCCCATACGCAGGGACTGCTGTGCCATGCCTGTAAACTAGCACGTGGGAGGGAGAGCCGGAGGGGGAGGAGTCTAAGGCCACCGTTGGCTGCATAGTGAAATGTAGCCTGGGCTACAAGAGACAAACACAGAAGGCTTAAATGAAATTCGGCATACAGTCCATCTTCACAGTAAGTCCCCTCTAGCATCTCATGATTTGTTATTGCTGAGTAATAAAATATTAAAATTTCTCTCTCAATCATAGTTATGAACATAAGGTCTTGTCTGTGATCTCTGTGCTTCGGGCCACTTTTAAATATTAACAAGGAGTTCCTTTGAGATAGCTTTTCCACACAGTTTCATAACTGGAATATCATTGGCCGCATTGAAGCCTGACACGCTCTTCCTTGTTTTCATATATTCCAGCTAGTAGCTTTTCCCCAACTTGATATTCCTGATGGTGTCTTGAACTGTGCTACCACTTTCTAAAATCCACCCGAGCTCAGACTAATGAATTCTCCAGATCCCTGAGCAAACACAGGCCATTTCCCCATTTGTTCCAAGGAAATGGAACTGTGGGTGGTTAGCCCTCAGAAGGGCATGTGGGTGCAGTGTCCACAGCACCTGTGAGCAGCCATGTGCAGTGAGCCGTCCTCTGGGCCATCTGCAGTGAGCGGCCGTCTGCATTGAGCCATCATCTACAGTATTGACTTTTCTTTTTAATATGATGCAGTACTTCCTCTTACACTGTGTGTGTGTGTACATTCACAGTGTCTTTCTATGCCCGTAGTGTCTCTGTGTGTAGTGTCTCTGGTGCATATTTGTGTGTGTGTGTGTGTGTGTGTGCGCGCGCGCGCATGAGGGTGTAGTGTCTGTATTTGAATCTGTGTGTATACATGTGCTGTGTCTCTGTAGTGTCTGTATATGTAGTATTTGTGTATTCAGTGCCTCTGTCTGGGGTGTGCATAGTATCTATCTGATGCATATTTCTCTCAGTGTGTATGTGTGTAGTATGTGTGATACATGTCTGTTTGGATCTGTGTGTGTATGTATGTGGTGTATGTGTCTTGTGTGTTTGAATCTCTGTGCCTGTGTCTGTGTGTGTGTTTGGGGCAGGACTTGTAAGCAGTGCACATGCCCTTCTGTTTCGGTTGCTGCTCGTGTCTAGAATATTGAAGCTAGCTGTAGAGGAAGTCCAGTTCTGAGCTGGTCATGGTGGCTGTGGCTGCAATCCCAGCACTCAGGAGGTGCAGTCGGGTCATTAGGAGCCCAAGCTCCTCAGGCTATGTGGGGTCAGGATGACGTGCGACCGTGGGAGCCAGCCTGGAGCAAGAGTGAGGTCTAGGCGTGTCCAGACCCCCCAAATCCCATCTTGATTGCAGCAGAAGGCTGTTTCCTGGGCACTTACTGCCAACCAGGGTCCTACACGGCACCCACCTCACGGGCTACACTTCCCTCCCTCCAGTCCAGCTCGGTGCAGAAGGAGCCCGATCCCCCGGGGGGAGCAGACAAGGCAGCAGGGTTACAGACTGACTTTGAGGCTGGCCTGGGATACGTGAAGATCGCAAAAACAAGACAAAAGGGTTTGCTCTGGAGATGCATGAAGATATACCTTCTTCTTAGAGAAGGAATCATTTCCCACTCTGCAGGTTACCAAGTAGAAGACTGAGGGAACGTAGGAATTGTCTGGGTTCACTGGGAGGGGTCAAGAATTAGGAGCTAATCATCTTACGACAGTTGTATTTAGAAATTTCCATGTTGGTAAAATGAGTGAGGCTTTCATAAATCCATAAATGCTTCTCCTTTGGTGTGATAGTCTATTTTTTTTTATTTTTAATTCTTTTATTTTTGATATTATAAGTATAATTGTATCATTTCCTTTTCCATTTCCTCCCTACAAGCGCTCACATATACCCTTCCTTGTTCACTTTCAAACTGATGGCCTCTTCATGTCATTAATCGTTGCATGAATATAAATGAATACATATATATCTTAAATATGACCTGCTTAGTCTATATAATATATAATACTTTATTTTTATAAATTTACACCCTGTGTAGCTAGAGAGATGGCTTTTGCTGCTCGTGCAGAAGACCCGAATTCAGTTCCTAGCACCCATGTTGGGTGGTTCATGACTGTTTGTAGCTCCCTCAGGGCATCCAATGCCCTTTTCTGGCTTCCACAAGTGCCAAGCATGCATGTGGTGCATAATACATAATACATAAATACATGCAGGCAAATGCTCCAATGCAGGAGATATGTATAAATGCTTTTTAAAAATCATCCTCAAAGTGTATCACAAGTTTGGTACAGTGATACACCCTATAATCCCAGGCCTAGGACGGAGGCAGGAGGATGACTACAAATTCTGGGTGTCCCCAGCCTGGGCCACATAGACAGACTGTCTCTGAAAAAGTAATTATCTCCTTATAGCGTTTCAGTGGGATCTGTATAATTGCGCTTCTCATAGCTGTGAGAAGATACAAAAGCAATAAAGGAGGAAAGGCTCACAGTCTCGGTGGTGGCAGGAGCGTGAGGCTGCTGGACAAGGCATCCACAGCTGGGGAGCAGAGGAACCCCGCCTTGGTCCCGCCCACTGGCCGAAGGTCTCACCCCAGTTAACCCTTCCTGGAGACGTTCTCATAGCCGTGTCCAGTGCTGTGTCTCCTCGCTGATCTCAAGTCCAGTCAAGTTGCTACTGAAATGCGGCCGCCACAAGCTGTCCTCCACGGAAAGGTCTGTAACTAACAACCCCTGACACTGTCCTTCCCACAGGGCGTGACCTATTGTGGCGAGAGTGCAGCCAGCAACCTCACCATGGCCAACGTGCCTTGGCATGAGGAAGTTGTTCGCTTTGTCCGGGAGCTGGTTGCTCTGCTTCCTGACTATGAAATTGCGTGTGAACATGAGCACTCCAACTGCCTCCTGATTGCACACAAAAAGGTAAGGCGTGAGCTTCTGCCCCACCTCTCTCCCCTTTCTTGTTCCCTCTCTGTTCCCCCTCACGTGATCACAGTGGATGTCCACGTGTCCACTGTCTTTCCTAATATAAGCATTAAGAAAGCCCTGAACAAAATAGAGAGCACTGTTCCATTGTTTGCGTTTAAACATTTTGTTTAAAGCTTTTTGTTGAAAGATTGACTTTTATTTTTAGTTATGTATGCGCATGTCTGTGTATGTGGTTTGTGCATGCGAGTGCAGTACCCACGGAGGCCTGAAGAGGGTGTCATCTCCTAGAGTGGAGTTACAGGTGGCTCTCTGTCTGGGCTCACAACTGGATGAATCACCATAAACCAGCAAGTTTAGAGACTTCAAACACAAATAATGTGGGGCCAGAGGATGGCTCAGTGGAGAAAGCACTTGTCACTAGGCTCTTGGGACCCACAGGGAGGAGGAAGAGAACTGATGTAATTCTCCGAGCTCCACCCATGAGCACCCCCTCCCAAAGAATAATCGCAGTATGGATTTTAAAGTATTATAATATTAGTGAAAATAAAGGAAATACGATCTTAGGCCAGGTGCTGGGATTTGGGTTGTGGGCTTAGCCCACAGCTAATGTGTCATTTTGTGTAGTTTCCTTTAGAACACTTTTTTGTAATAATGACCCCATGTTGTCATTTTCTTTGGTGAAAGGTGAGAAAATAGCTAGACGGGGTTGATTTTTTTCCTCATGGCAGGTGCTAATGCCTTCGCATCTGGCCTCCGTGGCTGGTCCTGTGTAGAGCAGCCTGACCGTTTAGTCAGGACTGTGTCTCACAACACTGTGTCACAGGATCACCCATGACCTTTTGAGTGTGTTTATCATTCTGCATAGATTGGCCTCTTCCCTTCGTGTGGGGGGTGAGGAGTCCCTGAAGGCAGATGACCCCGTGTCTCAGGATGCTCCCCTCACGTCTTGAGATCTGTGCTTCACTGCCCTGTTGACACAGCTGTCTTCGGGCATCGTTGTGTCAGTCATGCCAAATGCTGCCCTTTAGCTTCTGCTTTTTTCATGAAGCAGTTTGACTTTCCTCGGCTACTTTTGCCTCAGCTTGTCTTGAGTCACGTAGACATTCAGTTTGATCCCTGAGGCCTGGTGGCTCAGCATTTAACCTCAGACTGTGGGTGGAATTTTGTGTCCCCCATACCCCAAATTCATTTGTGCTGAGTTTCTAATTCCTCAGTGTGACTGTAGTTAAAGATGGCTTCTAAGGGTTGGATGAAGTTAGGAAACAGGGCCCTGATCTGATGTGGCAGCATCCTCACAAGGAGACACCAGGCAGCCCGAATGGAGGGAGAGGAAGCCCATGTTGACCCACTGAGAAGGCGTTCCTGCACAGCCAAAGATAGCCCTGCCCAGAGAGCAGACCCCCAGGGGCCTGAGCATGGCTTAGGCCTCCAGCCCTCTGTTCCTGAGCTGCCTGGGCTGAGGGCCCTTGGCCCAGTGACCCAAGCCCCCTAGTGCATCCGTGGCATGTCACATCAGCTTGGTCCTCCCGTTGTGTCCTTAGAGACTGGGAATCAGAATTGTCCTTGGTCACTTTTAGCTTCCAATAGCCCTATCTCTGCAAGTGGTTTCTTCCACTCCGGACCAGAGTACAGTTTTGGAAGATGGTTAGCATGGCTTCCAGTGCCCAAGTTTGCAAACTGCCTCTGGGAATTGCAGATGAGATGCATTGCAAATGGGTTGTTGTGTTTTGTTTTTGTTTTGTTTTGTTTTTTTTTGAGAGAGGGAGTGTGAGTGTGTGTGTATATACAGAGGCTCAACTCTAAAATGCATATTTTTTAAATGTAGGTAGGCTAGGCTAAAAAAAAAAAATTGAGTTTATGGTTCTAATCCAATGGTTCTCAACCATTGTGACCCTTTGATACAGATCCTCAGGTTGTGGTGACCCCAACCATAAAACTTTTCATTGTTACTTCATAACTGTCATTTTGATGCTGTTATGAATCATAATGTAAATATCTGATACGCACGATATCTGATATGTGACCCCTGTGAAAGGGTTGTTAGACCCCCAATCTAAGAGATCCTTTTGTCTCTCTGAGGCTATTCATGACAAGGAATCCTTTATTTCTTATTTTTTGTCTGCTTAAAAAAAGATTTTTACATATGTATGTATGTATGTATGTATGTATGTGTAGTTAATGTGCACGAGGGGGCAGGTGCCCCTGGAGAAGCTGGAGTTACAAGTGGTTCTAAGCTGCCCCACATGGGTGCTGGTTGCCAAACTTGGGCCCTCTGCAAGAGGAGCAAGTGCTTTTAACTACTGAGCCATCTCTCCAGCTGCACCCTTCGCTCCTGTTTATGGAGACGGGGTCTCACATGGCCATGGAGGCCTGAAATTGAAATTCACTATGTAGCTGAGGATGACCTTGAACTTCTGCCTCTAGCTCCTGAGTGCTGGGGTTACATGTGTGCACCATCATGCCTGGCTAGAAAGAGCTCTCTGTCCTGGGACTGGAGAACACTTGTGTGCAGTGAGTCTGGGAAAGGAGTGAAGATGGGAGTTTAGGTCATAGCCTGTACAATGCAGGATGCTTTGGGCAGCATTTCAAAGAATGGACCTCAAGAGGTAGGCCTCCTAATTCATCAACAGACTAATTAAGCTTTTACATACATTTGGCCCTGTCTCCTAAAAGCTCTTAGCTGTTTAACATAGACCACAGCCATTTAACTCATCAAGTAGTTCATCAGCTATACCCTACCTCCAGGAAACTACGTGGTTTTTATTTTCAATACTTCTTAGCTGGACCTGGAAACTGCCACTTCCATTGGTTCATAGAATTAATTATGCTTTTGTTGTTTTTTCAAAGATCTATTTGAATTTGTATGTGTGTGGGGGGGGGGAGTGCTTGATAGTGCTTGATAAGTGCTCTGAGATCAGAGGGGGGTGTCAGGTTTCCCAGGGCTAGAGTTATAGGTGGTTGTGAGCCACCTGTTCTGGGACCTGAACTTGTGGCCTCTGCATAAGCAGTGTGTTGTCTTAACCGAATCCAGCCCTGCTGGAGATGAGACAGCCTGACTTTGAACTTTTGTTCCTCCTGCCTCAGTCTTCCTAGTGTCGGGACAGAAACACTTGTCTATCCGAGCGAGTCACCTGTCAACATTAGCTTTACGCAAGCGAATGCCAGATAGAGGTTTTGAGTGAAAAGTCCTCACCGCAAAGCAAGCTTCCTCCACCCCTCCTCGGCTGCTTTTGTGTTCTCTTCATTCCCAGCCATTATTCCACAGTGACTTTTGAGAAGCAATTTACTTAAGAGAGTACAAATTGGATTATTCCCCATTATTGAATTGAAATTCTTAACGAGCCTTTCTGCTAATGAGATATTGTATGCACGTTAAGATGCAAAGGCTAGCTTGAGTCATTTAGCAGCTTAGAATTAGAAGCCATTGATTAAGGCTTTACTCAAGCAAAGTTTAGCAATAAAAAGCCGTCCACATGTTCTGCAAGCAGAGCCATGAGAATACACACCAGCTGAAAAGCAGGCACAGCAGGAAGAGCTAGAGGCAGCTTGATCGTGAACTCGTGGTGACACCCGAGCAGAGCTCTCTGCCACTGCAGTCACCTCGCTCCAGGAAAACCTGACTGCCATTTCAGGAGTAGCCTCCCTCCCTTTTCAGAAACACAGCCTCCGACCCTACCCGCCATTTATATAAGCTGTCCTTTTTCTTTCTTTTTTGTTAAGGCTTTATTCTTTTATTTTGTTTTTTGAGATTATAATGTAATTCCTCTTCTCTTTTTTTCCTCCAAACCTTCCCATATACCCCTCCTTGTATTCTTTCAAATTTATGGTCTTTTTTTTTAAATAATTGTTGTTACATGCCTATATGTTTATAATGTATATGTATATATGTATATATACACATATATATAGTATACATTATATATGTATTCTTAAATACAACCTACTCTGACCTCTGGCCTTTCTGCCTCAGTCTCCCAGGGCCTGATACTCCAGGGCCTCTATGTCCAGCTCAGAAAATAGTCCTTATTAACAGCTGGGCCGTCTGTGTGTGGTATGGAGCAGTCTTCAGGGATATAAGCTTATGAAAGTTTATAGGAATAGGAAAACTAGGCCGATTAGCAGTTTAAAATTTGGGGTGTGTGTGTGTTGAATGGGTCACATGTAGCTCAGGCTGCCCTGAACTTGCTGTATAGTCCAGGCTGACCTTGACTTTCCAGTCATCATGATTGTACCTCTTGAATGCTGGGATTGCGGGTGTACAGTACCATGTCCAGTTTGTATGATGCTGGGAACAGAACCCAAAGCTTCGTACATGTTTTGGGAGCCCTCTCCCAGCAGAGCCACATTCTTGACCCTCTCACTGGGGACTTTTGGACATTTATTTGATCTTTGGAAAAAAAACCACACACAGGCATATTTGCCCATGTGGGTCAGAAGGCATTGAATCTGCTGGGGCTGGAGTTACAGGAAGGTGTGAGCTGCCCAACACAGTGCTGGGAACGAACTCTTAAGTCTTCTGAGAAAACAGTACATGCTCTTTACTACTGAGCCATCTCTCCAGTTCCAGACTAAGCTGTGTGTCTTAGTCAGGGTTTCTATTTCTGTGTTGAAAGACTGTGACCAAAAGCAACTTGGAGAGGAAAGGGTTTTGTTTTTGTTTTTGTTTTTCAATGTGCTGTTTGTAGTCAGTCTGTCACTGAAGGAAGTCAGGGCAGGAACTCAAGGCAGGAGCCTGGAGGCAGGAGCTGATGCAGAGGCATGGAGGGGTGCTGCTCACTGGCTTGCTCCTCGAGGCTTGCTCACTCAGCCTGCTGTCTTATACCACCCAGACCACCAGCCCATGGTGAGCTGGGCACTGCAGTCACCTCACATCAAGCATCAGTTAAGAAAATGCACCACAGAACTGCCTGGGGCATTTTCTCACTTCAGGGTCTCTCTTCCAAAATGATTCTAGCTTGTGCCAAGTTGTCGTAAAACTAGCCAGCCCCGGACTGGAAATTTTCTCTTTACACACAGTTGCACTTCTGATCTGACGACTTTTCTTTGCAGTTTAAAGTTGATGGCGAGTGGTGGACATGGATCGATTACAGCCGCTTCCAGGAGCTGGTCCGGCAGTACGAAGAGAGTGGGGGCTCCAGGACTTTCACGGCGAGGGATTATATGGCCAGAACCCCGCAGTGGGCGCTGTTCGGTGCCAGGGAAAGAGGCTTTGATCCCAAGGACACAAGATACCAGAGGAAGAACAAAGCGAAGGACATTTCCGGATGTTGAGCTCATCTGAGTTAAAAATCTCCAAAGACAAAAGCTGCCTGGCCCCAGAAGGTCCCCATCACTGTCCCCAGGACTCCATAGCTGTTATCTCAGAGTCTGACCTCATCAGGAGCACCCGCCACTAAGGGCTGGACGCCTGGCTCAAGGCTTCTTATCAGAACACAGGCCCTTTTCTGAGTTCATTTCTGAGACAGTGAAGGCGACAGTCACCTTTGGATTTTCAGTAGTTTTGAATCTTATTTTAGTAATTTTCCTAAGTGCTATCCCTGAGTGTTACACAGGGAATAAACTATCTTTGCTCTTCTTCCCGAGTTACTGGCTTTCCCTTACTCATTTTCTTTAGATCTGTTCTGCTTAAGTGGTACAGATGGAATCCACTCACAGCAGTGCTTCTGCCTCAGCCTACTGAGAACTGAGCTTAGGGGCCAGCGCCACAGGCAGGCTCTTTGTAGAGTGATCGCTTAGTTATTTAGCTTACAGTGCCCTGCATCAAACTGTTCTCTCCTTCCAAGGTAAGGACTCTGTTCCTTTCCTCAATCTTAAAGAGTCACACCTCCTGAAAAGAATTGTTCCCAGCTTTCAAAGGGGTGTGTGTGTGTGTGTACAAATAAGTGCAGTGTCCATTGAGGCCGGCATATGGTGTCAGATCCTCTGGAGCTGGAGTTGCAGGTGGTTGTGAGGGGGCAGCATGGGTGCGGGGAAGAAATTCAGGCTCTCTGGAGGAACAGCAACGCTCTTAACTGCTGAACTAGCCCTCCAGCCCCAAGGGCTTTATTTATTTTCCAAATATCTTAAGATATTATGTCAATCACCTTAAACTTTTGCATATTCACAACTTCTGTGGGAATTGTTTTAGACCTGGAGCTGGCCTGGGTTTCATTCTGTCCCAGGCGGATTACCAGAGCAGGTAACATGGGGCAGACGGGAGTCCATGCCCCTTCCGAAGAGAGGTTGCCACTCAGTGCGCTGTCAGCAGTTCAGCAAACCTGCGGAGAATGAGGTTTCCCCTTGTCTTTCGTTCTGTGTTTGCAACACACACATACACACAAACATGCACACATTCACGCATTGTCTTTCTGTGTTTGCGTGACACAGGCACATACATACACATCTCTGTCTCTGCCCTCATTGCTATGCACAGTCTGTCCTTTAAAGGACCAAGTTTTCTGTCCCCCCCCCCTTCATTTCCTGAGACAGGGTCTCATGTATCCCAGGCAGGCCCCAGATTCTGCTTTGTAGCTGAGGGTGGTTTTGAACTTCTGACTCTCCTGCTTCTGACTCCTGAGTGCTGGAATTGCCAATGACTGTGCCATGCTTCAAGCTTTTTTTTTTTTTTTTTAAACCAGAAACATCTTAGTCAGTTTTCTTTATGCAAGTAATTGAAGTTATTTTAAAATTCTTTTATCTATAAAACTTAATAATCTTTCCTAAAGACCCAGGGCACAGTTATTCTTTTATGTCCTCAGATTGAAGATTCTTCTGTTCTTTGAGCATTAAGTCCTATCAGACCCCTCCCCAGACGCTCCAGGGCCCGCTAGCCTGTCTCAAGATGGAGGATGAGGACTGAAGCCAGGGTTCCCTCTGACCTTCACACTTACACTGCATCACAGGTACGCCCTCAGTCACACATGTAGACACAGGCACGTGTACACGTGTTCACAGACATGTAAAAAAGTAGGGGCTGTGTTGGGAAGTGGCTCAGTAGGTGAGAGTATATGCTGCTCTTGCAGAAGACCTGGGTTCAGTTCCTAGGACTCATTGGGGAAATCATAACCACGCACAGCTCCAGTGCCCCGGGATCTGCCGCCATCTTCTGGCTGCTGGGGGTCCTTCATGCACATAGTGGACTTAAACTCACGTAGGCCCGAGTCCACACGAGGAAATCTTTAAAAAAGTAGGGGCAGGAAGAAATGGCTGAGCTGCTTAAGGCGCTTGTGCCCAAGCCTGATGACCCAAGTGGGTTCGTCTGTGGTGGAAGGAGAGGACCGACTCCAGCAAGCTGTGCAGTGCATACACACGCATCCACAGACACCCAACATAAATATTGACAGAATTTGAGAGGCTACACATCTAAATGAAGGAGATAGGTATAATCGGCTGTGCTGGGGGCTTGGATTTAGGTTGCCATGGCATGTTACCTGCGTTTTTATAGTCACGGGACAAAGGTGACATCATACATACATGTGTTCACCGGTTACCCCGGAAGGGTCAGCGGGTTCGACTGGTGACACAAGAGTGGGGAAGTCTTCCCAGATTTCACATGCTGTGCTGTGTTATGATGGGGAGAAGGCAGGAGTCCCCTACCCTGGGTATGTCTTGAGAAGGTTTTCTGCCAGGAGATTGTTAGGTAAGAGATGGGCGTTAAGGTCACTGGCTGTTACGGGGCCGGAGAGAGCACAGTTGATCCTCGGTGAGTACGTACGGCGTCCCACCCAGGCTTCCCACATGCCTTTCAGCCAAGGTCAGGCTGTCTGCGGGACCCCTGGCATCAGAGCGCTGGCTCCAGACAGCCTCGGTTCACTAACGTGTACCGTTTGGTGTGTGTGTGTTGTATGTACATGCAGGTATGCAGGTGTGCTCACCCCTGTACACGCAGAGTCCAGAGGAGGACCACTCTGTCACTTTCAACCCTGTTTCCTTGAGAGGGTGTCTCTTACGAAGCCTGGAGCCAGGCTGGTGTCCAGCAAGCCCCATCTTCACCCCATACCCAGCGTTGGGGTTGCAGGCACACGTGTGAATGCCCAGCTTCTTACCTGGCGTCTGGGCGTTCAAACTCAGGTCCCTACGCCGTGTAACCAGTGCTCTTACCCACTGAGCCGCCTCCCAACCCCTATTCTCTGTTGCTTTATTTTTGATACAAGGTCTCATAAGCCATCCAGGCTGTCCAATCTATGGTAGACTTCCTGCCTCTGCCTCCTGAGGGCTGGGATTACTGGTATGCATTCAATCAAGCCATTAAATACAGACACTCCCTCGAGTGCACACACACAAAGGTAAACTTAATAAGAAAACATTAGGTTAGAGAGATGGCTCAGTGACCAAGAGAACTGATTTGAGCTTACATTTCTAGAGGGATGAAAGTCCATAGTGTCAGGGAAGCATGGCAGCAACAAGCATGGCAGCTGGAGCAGGAAGCTTGTTGAATCTCAAAGCTTGTCCCCAGAAGCATGCTTTTTCCAGCAAGGCTCCACCACCTAGACCTTCCTCAAACAGCACAGAGTGCGGACATAGAAATACATGCTGGTAAAACACCCATGAGCATAAAAATAAAGATAAAAACAAAAAACAACCCCAAAACCAAAACAGCTACCCCAACTAGGGAATAAGTGTTCAAGTGCCCAAGACTATGGGGACATTTCTTGAACCACTACAGTTGCTGCGGGTTTGTTGAGGATTGTCTGTCTCAGGGGATGAGGTTGGGAGTGACAGCACAGGACACCCAGTGTCTTCGTCTGGCCTCTGTACACACGAATGTGGATCCCTTACACACGCACACATACACCCCCACACCCCCACCACAGAGAAAGAATGGGGGGGGGCAGAAGAGCCAGCCAAGCCTAGAGAGTGTAATGGTTGATGACTCATGGGAGGTGGATGCCAGGCCTGGGCCCTCAAAACAATTATGCAAAAGAACAATTTGATCTGATTTGCATTTTAATAAGATCGCCGGAGCTGCATGTTTTAAATGGCTTGGAGAGGGCAAGAAAAAGATACGAGTTGGTAAGCATTTTCATATGACCCACTAGAAGTGATGGCCCCCGGGGTGTGCCCGTGTCTGTCTGTTTGGGGCATGGTATTTTCGCTAGTGGGCTGTAGAGCTGTGGATGGATTTCCGAGAGATCTAGGAGGTGATGCTTAAAATGGATGCAGCTGCACCATGACCTGTCCTGAGAATGGGAGAGGTGATGGTAGTACTTGGAGGCCTCTCAAAGGTGAAGGTCAGAGAGGACACTCAGAAAAGTATGAAGAGAACCTATGGGGAGACACAAATATGTCAATCATCATGATGGGGATTACCATCAAAACCTAAGGAAGGGGCCTGGAGAGATGGCTCAGCAGTTAAGTGCCCAAACTGCTCTTGGAGAGCTACTCCTGGTAGCTCACAGTCACCTGTAACTCCAGTTCTAGAGAACCTGAGGTCCTTTTTTGGAATCCATGGGCAACTGTACTCAGACACACAGATACGCATAATAAAAATATTAAAACACAAATGACGAAGGTTGATGTCTCCTAAGCAGCGAGTGTAACACGAGAGCAGAGATACCAGGCCTTGATGAGAAGCAGCACAGGAAATGGGATTACCAGGAAATGAGGTCGGAGGGACACACCTTTCAGCTGCTGGACCTCAGCAAGGAGGGTGACTGGACATGCAAAGTGAATTCCTCAAGGACGCCTGAGTGCATGAGCAGTGGAGGCTAGGGGACTGCCTCAGCTGCTGTTCCTCAAGTGCCATCTCTGCCACTGAGCCACATTCACAACCCTCAACGGAGAATTCCAGGCAGGTGCTCTACCACAGAGCCACACCCAGGACCTCACTGGGGGATTCTAAGAAGGGGCTCTACCATTAACTAACCTCTCCTTCTAGCCCTGTGATTTGATTTGTAGTGAAAAAGTTAGACATTTTGCAAAGATCATCGCTACTCCCTGACCTTGTGGGCAACTCTCCTGGGATCCCCTTTTCAGCCTGATCCAGTGACTGAACCCTGTTTCTCATTTTTCGATCTTTTTATCCTGGGGAAGAGGGTGCAGGTGACATTTTGTTCTTGTCGCTGGCCTGTCTGGGTCTGTCTGTGGCTAATGCAGAGTGTGGGCCATTAGACAGAGTCTTTCATAGCTCTTTGTTTAAAAGCCTATTATTTTAATTTCCAAACCTTTTAGGGGAGACAGAGCAGCAGCTCCAGCCCCATGCTTTGTCTGCCTCCCGATTATGACAATCCGTGACTCAGAGTCACAAACTGACCATTCCTTTGGCTACCACATCCTGTCCCACTCTGCCTGATGTCCCCTCCAATAGAGTCAGCTTGCTGTTCCCGAGGGACAGGAAATGCTGATGTAATGGCTTCTATTACTGATATTGCCTTGGTAGTCAGGGGTGCCAAGGTTGTCTGCAGGAAGAGAAGGGAAGGGAAGAGCTGAAACTTCCTTAAAGCAACTTCACATCTCAGTGGGCTCCGCTTACCTGAGCTAAATGTGTTAAATTCAGTGGGAAAAATCAGAAAATATCGCCCCCATCACATCATTCAAACACATCTAGATACAAAACAAAGAAAGTGTTTACATCATTTAAACACTTTGCCTCATTAATGAGCCA